GACATGAGGGTGTGCAGGAGGCTCAGAGTTTTCCAGCGTAGACTTCATTTTCTGACCATAAGTGGGGTGCAATGCCAGTGCAGACTTGATATGTTCTGGAATACAGTGACAGAACTGTGCTGGGTGCTCGAGTGACCTGACTGCTGCAGATATGGGAAGCTGTCTTCTCCTCGTGGCTGTGAAAATCAATGCAGGGCTGTGTGAACCCCTTGTGACTGGCTCCTTCCAGGGACTGATGGGTGACCTGTGTGAGATCTCTCAATTGTGCAATCACAAATGGATCAGGACAAAGACCAATCTGTGCAAGATCAAACTAGTTCATTTCAGTCCCCTCGAATGAGGCTAGTGCTGCAGGCTGGACAATAGGATTCACGAACATAGCTGGGTTTCCTCTGATACAGGATGCCATTCACTGTACATATGTGGCAGTGAGAAGGCCATATTATGTCTGGGTGCATGGTAGCCTTTCAAGGATGGTGCAGACACAAGGGATGCCAGTATTTGGGCTGATACTGTACCTGCTGAGTGGCAAGGTTGTGTGATGAGTTAGAAATTGGAGATGACATGTGAGAGACGACATGGGGCACGGTAGGTAATTTAGGAGAGTTTGGAAGATATGGTGAGAGAACTCACTAGGTCTTGCAGCAACAACAATAAAAAAAAAGACAACTCAGACTGAAGAATTCAGTCAGAAGGGTAGGGGTCCATTTGATGCATTTATGGGTGATCTGTTATCACCACTACCACTTCCTGGAAGTGCTTGCGTACTACCCTGGCAGCTGTCATGACTTGAACACTCTGGAGCACTGTCATGTACCTGTTGCCTTACAAAGCTGGTTCTTGGGAGATGCTGCTACCAATTGCAACCTTGGTTTATGACATCATGCACAACTCCCTGGGTGATGCATAGCATAGCAGAGATCTGACGCTGCCCAGCCCAAAACAGGGACCATGGTGGAGCTGAATATTGGGCTGCTAAAGATGCAGTTCCGCTGCTTGACCAGTCTGTTGGGGGTTGGCCTCCAGAATAGTCCAGAGAGGGTGCTGCATCATCCTGGAGTGCTGTGCTCTGCACAACAGAACTGCCAATGAGATGATGTTCTGGACACAAAGGAGCAGTCTTATGAGTAGGTGGATGAGGACACTGTGATGGAGGAAGCTGACATCGTCCATGACAGAGCTCAGCTACAACATGTGCCACATGCCAGACAGAACCTCATTGACACCCACTTCCAATAGAAGACAGCAGAGTGCAGCAAATTTTTGGTCATGATTCAGAAATCTGTTTGACACTGTAAAAGTGAATTTCAGTATCTCTTGGCATTGTTTCTGTTCCTTTTTGCATTATGTTTGTTTTTGTATCTGTCCAATTGCTTGCCTATATTTGATCTTGCCCTACTAGACAATGACAAGATGAGACCTTTTGGGTGGTTAACAGGGACAGGGTTGTATTGACTTAGTGGGTATTTAGTAGGAATGGAGCTTAGGAGAGGTAAAATGTGGTGGTTAAACAGACTAGGATCAGCAAATGGGGTTGTATGGCTGAGGAAATATCAGCCATTTTATTTGTGTGCCATGGGCAGTGTAGCTTTGTGGCTGTTATACCATTATGTTGTCAGTGAGGGGCAATACTCAATTGCCAACACTTGTCCAGGAGCATTGTAGCCTTTCAAAGATGGTGCAGCCACAAGTGATGCCAGTATTTGGGCAAGAGATAACAAGGTGTAGAGGTGGATGAACACAGCAGGCCAAGCAGCATCAGAGGAGCAGGAAGGCAGACGTTACGGGCCTAGACCCTTCTTCATAACTTCATAACATTTCTGAAGAAGGGTCTAGGCCTGA